GAGAGAGAGAGAGAGAGAGAGAGAGAGAGTAGATAGAGCTGAAATAAAGAAAGAAATAAGAAAGTTGTATCATGTAAATCGATTCTCAGGAATCGATTGAGCCTGCTTGGGATTCAATCCGATCAACCGTTATAGCAGCTCAAGAAATCTGGTCTCCGATCAACGTCGCGTAAGTATACGCGACCGGTCGTGTGTTTACTTGGCGCGAGGCACTACCACGTGTCTTGATGTTTATCTGGGGATAACCCTCTCAGCATACAGCATAATTTGCACAGAATAACACATAGACTCTATTATGTTTACTAAAAAGTAAACATAATAAGACAAAAATAATAAAATAAAAAAAATTTTTTTCAGAAAAAGAGAGTGGGAGGGAGATACGCACCTACTACGCTCAGGTTGAACGCCTGACTGATCTTGGGTTCCGTCGAGACTTGACACTCGTAGATCCCGCTGTCCCGCACTTGCGGCGAGCTGATCTTCAGGGTCCACTCGTCGCTGCCATCGCTGTGCAGCGATTGAAAACGCTGGTCGTTCGTGTACGTTAGAATGCCGACAGTGAGAATATGCAAATCCCGCTGCCTGATCCACGAAACCTGCGCATCAAGAAAGACGTCTGCCATTACGGCGAGCTCTGATTACGCTAGTCGCCGTGCAAAAGTCCCGTCGTTATTTCGCGCTGACGTTTCACGTTTTATCGTGCGTTCCGCAATTTCGACGCGTTTGCTGCGAGCTCCCGCATACTTTAGCACGAGGATACGTACGAGATAGGAAATTTCGAATGCCAACAGATCTCGAAATTCCACCCCTAATCCGTATAACGTCATCATTTCTTATCAGACAAACTCTGTTGAGCCTCCACACGGTATTTACACACGAATATCCGATTGAATGTGCCACCCGTGCGAAGAAAGGATCGTCATGATCGTCGGTTTAAGTAAAGTGGAGCGTGCAAGATTCGTGGCTGCGATTTGCAACTCGCGTCGATCGCGCCTCATTTTACAAACACGAATATCCAGATACGCGTGCGCGCGCGTGCAAACGTTATTTGGGGCTCAACGGCATGACTGTAAATGGCGGGGGCGACGGGAGCTCGCAGCGAGGAGGGATAGATCGGAGCAGGGTGGGCTATAGAGTAGGATAGGGTGCGAGAGAAATTTGATTTATCGGCGATTACGATCGGTGATTGGACTCTGACGGGTTCCTGTGCGTCATGCGGTGATGCATGAGCAGCGGCCGATAACGCGTAATGTCACCATTCGCCCGGTGACCTATGCGCCTACCCGCGAAATTACTTTGCATTAGGACCGCGAGTGATGAATACCGGGTTAAACAGCGGCTCCCGTGCGAGCCGCTAATCTACCAAACTGCTCGAAAAATTGATGCCGTCAGTGCGTATTTTATGTACGTACGCACGTACGCGCGTGCGTCCCACCTTTGACCTTTTATGTGAGAATGACCGATACATCACTTTAGCACTTTCGTGTGACTGACACGCGAGTGACGGTTACGAAATGTTAACCGAATGAGCAGCGACACAGAGGTGTGCGTTTCGCTGGAGGTTCATTTTACAGCAAAAAAAACTAAAAGAGGAAAGGACCCGGGGAGAAATGAAAATGTGTGTAAATTCGGAGAAGAATAAAACTGGATTTTCGCGTTTCGGTGCAACACACGTACAAGCACGCGACACGCGCACACACAAACATCACGGTTTCCCCGTGAAGGGTTTCTTCTCTGCGGCGTAGGAATTAGATCATGTAATCATTTAACAGGTGTCAGTCAGGCGTGAATTTTCTGTCTGTACCTCTCCGACAGATTTCGTTACGAGTAACGTTTCACGCCACGATGGACACGGTCAGAGATGTCTTGATGCTAACGAGATCGTATGTTAATGTTCCGCCTCTCCCCCCTTCAAGCCGTAACTCACTAAATATGCGCGGGCGAGTGGATGCACGTCGCACCGTGAAAAGTTATACTTCACCTAGGTTAGTTTGTGAAATAAGGGAGAAGGGGAATGGAAAAACAGAAACAAAAAGATGAAGAAGAGGAAGTTCGGCTGGAAGAGCGAAGGCGTGAAGTAGGTTACCATAAAAGTGCGAGACGATGTCGCGTGAGTAAATGAAGAATGAACTCGCGCGTCACGCTAACTCTCTCTTTCTCCCTCTGAATGGTAGCGAGTGCATTAGCAGAGAGAGAGAGAGAGAGAGAGAGAGAGAGAGAGAGAGAGAGAGAGAGAGAGAGAGAGAGGGGGGGGGGAG